AGGGGCTCCTGGCATCGCTACTAGGAGCAAGAAGCTACTAGGGGCTCTTGGCATCGCTACTAGGAGCAAGGAGCAAAAAGCGACTAGGGGCTCCTGGCCTTGCTACTAGGAACAAGAATGCTACTAAGGACATGGTCCCTCAAACGCCAAGATGCTCATAGCAAACGCTAGCCTGGAGAATCTAAAGTCTCTTCTTCCTTGCGCCGAAAAGCTAGCAAGGCCTTGCAGTTCAGGGCGTGCCTGACTGATATGTGTTTCCAAGCTGGTACACACAAATCAATATACACTTCAACCTGACTTGGCCCCTTGTTTCTGTCACATTGCCGAGCTTGCAACCAGTTCCACTGTCACAAATCAAAACTGCAAAATTGGAAATCCTGTGCTTCGACACTGCAAAGATTGGCCCCCACATGACGGCAATTGAAATGTGGCATCAAACACCACACCGAATCAACTTTCGGATGTGGACAACCCTGTTTACGTGGAGCACAGCTCACATCCTGAGCCAGGCAAAGTTGTCTTTGCGCTCCAAGGATGCTCAAGCCACGCTGGCTTCAAAATGTGGCATCTCTTATCTGTTTGCATCCCTTGCAGCACCAAGTGATTGTGATGCACGCATAGGGACAGATAGCTTCCGCAGGTGATGCCACGCCAAAATTGCAAAAATGTAATGTAGAGGTGAAACAGCAGAGCTGTAGAGCTTGTGGCAACCGCTTTGAGTTCCCACTGCGAAAACTTACCCATGCCCGCAAATGGGCATGCCTATCACGCTGTGTCGTGCGCCCCGGTGACTCTTGCTGGCCGGATTCCACTCACCGCAGGAGAGACAAAAAGAGAGTACAATCCTCTGATCTCCTCCGACCCGTGCTAGGCATCGGCAAAGTCACCACCACTGAGTGGTTTGGCCTGGCCAATTGCACTCTACAAGTGTCTAAAATTGAAACCTCTGAGAGCAGTGCTTGGGGCAAGTACCAAGAGTCAGAATCTTCCGAGTCTGACGCCTAGACACTCCACTAAGTTTGTGTGAGAGCGCATTGCAATACTACTCTCGGCCGGGTGGGGCCGAGGTCAGAACAGCGTCGCGGCAGTCGCACTGGCCTTGCTTTGGGCAAGTAAGGGTGCATTGAAACAAATATTGTGTTCCTCCCAACTGGTTCCGGCCGCTACCTGATCATATGAAGATTGCTTGCGCAAACCAGAAGTTCACGCCCTCTTAGAAACAAAATGAGGTTCCAACAAAATACAATCTTGCCAGCCAACCAACCGGCCAAAATAGCAGTGCAAACAGGAGACCGTGTGCAGGGTATTCTCCAAGTACCTCAACGAACTTAAATGCAAGTGCGGGCCGGCGAAATCTTCATCAAACAAATCTAATATGTATGCATGTAGCCCAAGGAGGAATCCCCAACAGCTGGGCATGAACTCCCCGCTCCCCTATTCGCCAATGAAAACATTGCAAAATCACTGGCAAGCGCTGTGTCTTTGCTGGGCACTGCTGCTTTGAAACACGCGGCTCTTCTCAATGCGCCATACAAGTATCGCCACATGGCAATATTATGTGTGCCCACATATGTCCAAGCATGACGGCGCTGCAACAAGCAAGAAACATGGAACCTTCTCCGCCTGTCGTTATGTCAGCACGACGGCATGACCCAATATCAGCATTCCAGCGTGAAAAACATCACCATGTTAGCATGACCATGTCGGTGTGCCAACATCACAACATGTAAGCACGGCAGCATTTCAGCACATCGGCATGACACCCCAAGAACCTGGTCCGGGACCTGCTCCAATCTGCTCCGAAGCTTCCTAAGCTGTGTTTTCAGAGAAAATAGAATGAGCACAAAAGTAATTCCCAACAGCCGGGCGTGAACCTGCTGATCAAACGACCGCAACATGCAGCACGCGGCAATAAATGCGCGACGTTTGCAAGGTATAGGCGTGTGGTTTGTGATTGTTAGACACTGCTGCGTTCAAAAGTGTGAGCCCTTCTCAGTGCGCCATGCGGGCATGTTAGCACGGCAATACGTCAGTGTAGCGCATGCGCCCACATCTGCGCAAGCGCGACAGCACGGCCACAAGCAACTTGAGGCCGGGCGTTGGCGATGAAAGCTAGCAGCTAGCATGGGTTCTCATAAGATCTGTCCTGTCCAACCAAAGTGTTGAAGAATCAAACCATGTTGCATTGATACGCCCCAGGGCATCCCAGCCAGAGGGAAGGTGAGCCTGCGGGGGAGGGGCCTATGCATGAATTATTCACAGGGTAGGGCACTCCATTCCACACCAATAAACTTGCAGCAAGGGTAACTCCCAGCTTTGGAGCCCGCCAGTACGTGAGCCCGACCGCGACTCGGTTTCCACATCTCAGCGTGGCAATGCTTCAGCATGCTAGCTTGGCCGATGCCAGCACGACAATATGTCAGCATGACAGCCTGGCAAGTTGTCAGCATGACACCATGCCCCAGCATACCAGTGTAACTACATGAGTCATGCCAGTGTGTCCACATCTGCGTGACAGCCTATATGTACACACACCACACCAACATGCCATGTCAGTATCATAGTGGTGCCCCATCATATCTGCCAAGCGCTCCGGAACTTGAGAGAAGCTGCTACCAAACTCCGGAACCTGCTTCCGAACTTGCTCCGGAACTTGTTTGGGAACTTGTTCCGGAATGGAATCTGCTCCGGAACCTGCTGCAGAATAACCTGCTCTGGAACCTGCTCCGGAACTTGCTCCCAAAGTTTGTATGGTTGAAGACCCCTAAGCTTCGCTGTTGGGGAAGAAAGCCTTGAACATGCAATGAACATGGTAACATGAACTACTCATCTTAGGGTTTGCACTTTCACTTGGGAACCAAGCGCGGTTGGCCAACCACTGAACGCCTCGAAGAACTGGGCGCGCTGCACCTTGATTCGGACACAAGCACTTGTCAAATGGCCTGTTGCGGCACAGATTTCGCCCTTTTGCTCACAACAAGTTTTGTGGAAGGCCTTCCATGTTGCTTTTGGCGGTGGGGTGGGCACAAGGTCACAATCAGAAACAATTGAAGCCAGGGATCAGTTGAGCTGAGGGAGTGGAGTCAAGATTCATTGAATTTTCTTGACCCTGCCGCTGAGACTGCGCAAGGAAACCAGAGCAGACTGCGAGAATGGCTGTCACATGATGTCACTTGAAGACTTGGCTCTGCACGCACAAGTTTCAGCGCTGGCGACACTGGCTCCTGAAGTGAAACGCTCAGGAGCGGCATGGCAAATATCAACGCCAAACACCCCGTGCCAGAGCAAAGGACACCAAAACGGCAAATTTCTAACTCGCTTCTTCCGTACAAAGGTCTGTCAGAATGTACTGTCTCCCAAGTGCAACTAAACATGAGACATTGGTGGGCACTTGCATGTGTGGACCGCGACATGGTTTCACACGGTATCTGATCCACACAGTTGGTGCACAAGCAAAAATGCAACTGCTTAAACACCTGACTGAGGGAACAGCCAATGTAAGCTTGTCCCTCCACAATTATTTCCATATCCATTCCGAGCGCTAACAGCGGCATGGACATGGTCCAAAATATGAGGTTTGCGCTGCCGTCTCAGCAAAATGATCACAGAATCAGCCCTTAGAGTCCTTAGAGCATTAGACAGGCAGATCTATCGTGAGCCTCTGGGAATCACGTTTTGAATGTGCGCGGTCTTAGAAGCAAGCGGTCCAAAGCGACCATTCAAACTTGTTTGGGCAGCGCAGTCTCATTCAAAAGTGCCACCGGTAGGGGCGGCAAATGACCACAGCATGTAGTAATTAGGTGCAGTTGTCGTGCCCTGTGGAGCCTGAACCTACGGTTTTCAGGCAGCTTGAGGCAATCCAGCTCTTGCAAGAAGAAATTCAACAGAAACAAGATGAAACAAGTTGATATGTTTTTAGTGCGTTGCCTAGAAGAGCACATGCCTCGGCACTGGACCAAAATGTGCATGCAAGACTCAAAACTGGAAGTCTTGTTCGGATTTTGGAGTGAGGGAGCTTCTTGAGGATATCGCTCCACCCCACACTTTCACAGCCCGTCTGAATCTGAAGGCCCAATTCTTTGCCCGAACCCGCAAATTAAATTCAACCAAAGCCAAGCAAGCTCACAAATATTTGACACAAAAAACCTCCAGTGCCAAGACCCATTTGGTCTTTTGGTCAATCGGCTTCGGCTTTGTTTCTGTGAGTTAGAGCTTCAAGAGGTCGCAAAACTGCAGCTGACCTCAAAAAGAGGATGCACAAATGGGAGCAAACAAAAGGCTGTCAACATGTTCCCAACATGTCGACTTGTTCAAGTGTTGCAGTGGTTATATATTGTTTCCCAAAGACTTCGGCTTTCGCAAGAACATGACACTCTTCTGGCCTCAAGGTACCGCACTTGCCTCTACATCGAATGTTATCCGGCACAGTGGGCATTTGCTCCTGAGACTGAAAACAGGCAGACGGTGTCAAAGAGGGAGCAGCCCCAACCCCTACTCTAGGCCCTATGGGACAACAATATTGGGCTAGCAATTCAATTCTGGATGATTGGGTTTCAGCTGCTGGTAGCAACGCTAACAAATGGTTAACGACAATCGTCAACATTGGTTACAGGTCATTGTCTACAGGATCGCATCTCATTGAACATTCACTGAGAGGATCTGAGAGGGTCATATGATCATGTGTGCACTTACTACAGGATGCATCCACAATCAAGGTTTTGCCGCAGTTTTGCCTCTACCTGTGGAGGATTGGGCGCTGCGTTTTGGGAGAGGTCCTTCACCAATTCTCTGTTGTATTTCGGGCTCTGTGTGTTATGAAGAAGCGGTGCTTGGTTTTGTTCTGTTTTGTTTTTGTTTTGACTCGGATACGGGAAGGGCGTTTGAAAAAGTGCTCCCCTCCCCCCTCCCCTCTGTGCGTCGGTTTTGCGTTCGGATCTGTGTATACATAATATACATATATATATATATATGTGTGTGTGTGTGTAAATATATATAATATATATATATATATGCTTCATTATATATATAATTCAACCTTATAATGGTCCTCCAGCTTGCGCTTGGACAAAATGCACAAATCGTTTGCACCCGAATATCTGCTTGGCTAAGGGTGGCACTACAAACATGTGCTTTAGAAATTGCTGTCCATGAAAACAGTTGTGAACTACGACACCCCAAGAGATTTCTTGCTATTATTCTTCACCCACTTCCCTGGATGCAGCACTTGTGTGTGTGAAACCCGGGGCAAGCACACGGTGCGGCTATTGCAAGACAATGAGAACCAACAAGTCCGAACAGAGCAAAGCAACCCTGTTTGGACACGTTCATCATCCGGTTTGCGAGTATTTGTCAAATCAGTGGGTCAAAGTAACCAAAATTACTTCGTGCAAAATGGTGCGTTGACCATGTCATTATTGGCCATATCGATGCCACAGATGGCACAGTTGTACCACTTGGTAGGGGTCTTCAGCAAAATCAAAACAAAAACAATGTCCGGACATTGAAGGTCCGAAACCCATTGCCTGTCTTCAACCAAGACGTGACAATGTGTAGCACAAACAAGGACCCACAAATGCTGCCCCAAATCAAGCGAAGGTGCGACTGTATCGAACGTGAGGATGCCCAGGCTGCGATGCAAGGCTCACAGAAGATGTGCCCACACCTCGGTGTCGACATGAGGCACATCGATGTGATGTTCCACTGTTTTGTTGGCTTCCAGTCCAGTATCTCTTCAACTGAGAGTGCAACGGCAACACTGCCACCTAAGACTCTCAAGCTCAACGACCGAATAAAAATTGCCACCACGAATCTCAGGGTTATTTATGACAAGCTGCTGTATCAGCTCCGTCAAACTCCTCAAAACACTGCAGCATCTGCAACAATTGAAATTGGCGCGGCACAATCTATAGTATTGAACTGGTAAGACTGTTTTTGAACATCTTATATAAATCCTCTGAACGAGAGAGGTGCAATACCTTCAGCTCAGGGATCTTGAAGACCCATTCCCATTTTGGAAAAGAGCGGAAACACAAGCCAAGAAATTGAAAAAGTTTGAAGCAAAGTGAGCCCAAAAAAACAAGCGACTGTTGTGGGGTTCCATGATGTGAGGAATGCAAACCGAAAGGGCAGCCGTGAAGCCAGTGCCATTTCTGAGCGTCAGGTTCAAGTTTCCAGTGATTCAAGTGTTGTTGGAGTTGGACGTGGGGAAAAATCAGGTTTGTTTGTTGGAATCCGCTCTAAATGCTCTTTTCTCTTGCAGCACCCACAGGCAGAGCGAAGGGTTCTTGTTGAAAAAAGGAAAGTTTGTGTGCGTGTGCCCCTTGGAGTCACAAGGTGCCTTGCGGCATTTGGAAAAATGCGGCGCGATTGTGGGACTGCACCCAACGAAGCTACCACAGTCATGGGACGGCGCACCTGCATTATTTCAATGGATTTTGAAGCGCTAGTGAACCTACGTAACTCTCAAGTTGTTTAATAAATTGTTTCGCACTACAGGCTACAGGGCTATTGCACCCATGGGAGTTTTCAAGCCTTGGACCGCTCAACATACTAATCACACCTGGCTTCAAGTTTTTCCGGCCTTTTAACCTATATGGGCGTTGATCTAAATTCATTTTATCTGGGATCCGTCATTCTGAGCCAGGAAAAGAATTACTTTAGGCAAGCTTTCGCCTTCCTGTGTTATGTTTTTCGCCGAAGTATGTTGTAATGTGTGCCATGTATGTTGTATGATGTATATCAATTTTGTTCATGTCAATGGTTTCTTCTTTACTAGCAAATACGAAACAAAAACTTCACTGTGTGTCAGCATGTGTCTTCCACTTAACTGTTGACACCCTGTGCGTCTCTTTTGTTTCTCTTGGGTGTCAGCAAGAATCAAAAATTGCAAGAATCACAGTAATAGCCGGTCACTCAGATTTACTCATAATGGGCTGGGGGTCAGATGTGGCAGGGTGAACTTTCGCCAATCTTGAGCTGAACGTTCGTCAAATTTTCGCCTTTTGCGGGGTAGAGTTTTGTGGCAGAACCGCCCCCCCAAAGCAGGAGCAGGAGGAGTAGTAATAGTAGCAGCAGCAGCAGCAGTAGTAAAGCAGTAGTGGTGGTAGTGGCCGTGGGAGCGGAAGTGGAAGTGGAAGTAGTAGTCGTCGTCGTCGTAGTCATAGTCATAGCCGTAGCCGTAGTAGTCGTAGTCGTAGTACTAGTAGTAGTAATAGTAGTACTAGTAGTAGTCGTCGTCGT